CCATATATACACAAGTTGATCTTTAGCCGTGTGCGGTGTCCCCCTCCACAGTTTTCCACCTCGGTGATATTGTCGTAGTGCTTAGGCGAAGCCCTGCGCCGGTAACTTCATCATCACGGTCACCACGCCGTGTGTTGACGAAACTCTCCTTCGGCCTCAATTGGATTAAGAGTTTGAGGGACGTCACCGAGCTGAACGTGTGCAGATCGCGGAGGTGTCGTGCATTCTTGGATCGGTTGGATCGCGAAGATGTTCGACTACATCAACCGTGTTACTAAATGCTTCTGCTTTCGGTCTACGAGGGTACGTGAACACACTCTCCCCGCTCGTTGTTATGCTTCTCCTAGATAGATCTTGCATGATCGTAGGCATTTTTTTTAAAAAATTACGTTCCCCAACACTCAGTGCTCAGAAAACCACAACATATTTGAATGTGATCAATCCTAAGGCGGCTCTCTCTGCATATCATGAACAATCTGCTTCCTTTTTCTTCTGCAAGGTTTTGTCGAGGCATGCATGCGTGACTATTTATGGTTTCTTTCATCTTCAGTTTGATTTTGCTGAGACATTCATTTGCAACACAGATCGACGCTGGTACCAAAAAAGATAAATCATGCGCTATTGATTAAGGTTACACCTTAAATAGAATTTTAAAACGGTTATTAGGTAAAATAATACCGTATCATATTTAGATTTTACACATTTTTTAATCAAAATTTATATATAACATGTTAAAATTGGAGTTACAGTTTAAAAGATATGGATTGAATAAAAAAACATCAATTACTTAAAGATAGACTGCGGGTTAACTAATAGAAAAACAGAGTGTTTTATAAAAAATGAAAAAAGAACAATTTGTCTCTGCTACTTAAGCCTGCACAGCGGGTTGATTTCAGGAAAAGATAGGCGTTCTAAAAAGAACAGAATTTTTTTCTTTATTAGTAGGTATAGATTAACGACGCATAGACCAATTAGTTTATTGGCTCACAAACTCCACGAAGCCCTAAAATTCACAAAAATCAAAAACTAACATTTTATGATTCGAAAAGGCCTAAAAATAATACGCATATACATAGGGATGTATAATTCATGTACGCAGATTTCTACCATAAAATAAATTTTTTTATGTGAGCTACATAGAAACAAAAGCATGGGCTTTAAAGGCTTGTTTAGACTGCTCTTGCTCCATAAATATCAGCTTCGCTCCTGAAATCCATTTTGAAATAGTTTCACATAGGAGTTGTAGCTAATCATATCTGGCTTTCAACTAACTCCAACTTTAAGAATGAGAAATTTGATGGAAAGAATCTATTTAATTAGATGACGTGGGGAAAATAAACGCCTATCCATTTACTGGTGATAGTGGTGGGTAATTTTCCCCAATTCCGCCTTCTAGAGTTTTGAGAGCATCCCTGAAGAGCTTCAAAGAAACAAGGAGTTATATCCCAAAATCTAGTTTTTTGCGAAGTTGCATATTGTGAAGCTATTCATTTAGCTTGCATTTTTTTAGAGGGGAGCTGAATTTTAGAGAGCAGATCAGTGCCAAACATGCTCTTATAGTGAATAGTACATGTGCTAGGAATTCATGTTTCTTTAGTAAACCAAAATATTTTTTCATGATAATACGTGTCTTATCTTATTTATATCATAAAGATTATAATATAAGCCACATAGACCCGCTAGGCTTTGCATAAAGGAAACACATCTAAGAAGGAAAATTACAATAAAAATTGAAGAATCCTCTGAACTTGATACCAATGTCCGTCATTTGCCTTCGGCACCACCACGACATCCACCAAAGGAAAAAATAACAGATCATCTCCTCAGCCGAGCTTCACGCGGCTCCAACGTTGATATGCAACTTTATGGACCTCCAAAGTGGCCAAACAAAGGCGAAACTATTGTCGTTCAAATCAAACTGGGGCAACACCCTGGACACGTTGTCAAACTCCAGATCGGGCACCCCCGCACAACTAAGATGTCGGAGGAGGAAACCATACCTGCCAGCAACGAACCACCCAACCAGACATGATCCACAATCTTCCAAATGACGCTGATGTAGACCATAGTTTGCCATCCTAGACTACCTCTCAAGCTCCATGCATGCGCTCGAGCAAACATCATCATAACGACGGAGCCCTAGGCACAAGTCCACCATGAAGATGTCGTTGCCACATGCTTGAACATGCAAGTTTCTAAATCCATCCCCAACCATAGTCCGATTACCTTGTCGGGAAAGGATTTGAAGCTTTTTTAATCAGTGCCGCCGTCACCAGCACCGAGATCAAGATGATGAACGACCCAAAAACCTAAGCAACCAGGGCCAAAAACTTAAAAGCTACATGATCGCACACGTGGATCGAGCGATGCCCTCACCGCCGACGATCGACGTCGTCAGCGAAGGGGAGCTGCTAGAGGACGGGGACAGAAGGAAACGCTCATGGCGGGCTGGCTAGATGCCTTTTCTTTCTTGGTCATATCAAACATATTTCATCATAAAATTTTACAAAACATGTACTCCCTCTGTAACTAATGTAAGGCGCTTTTGTTGTTTAATTAGAGCAACTCCAATGGGGCGATCTATTTTGTCTGTTTGGGTTATCCGGACACAAAACTCAGTCCAACAGGGCGACCCAAACAGACATGGCGTTCGCCTACTGTCCGTTTGGTGTCCGCTCGGATCCATTTTGGTCTCAAATCTGAAAAAATTTAGGTCAAAAGCGGACACAAAGCGGACGTTGTTGGTGCCCTCTTCGCCCCCTCTGTCCGGCTGCATGTACCGGCTGGCCCACTTGCCATCCACCCATCTGTCCTATCCCGTCTCTCTCCTCCTTTTCCTCTCTCTTCTCCCCCACCCACCCACCCACCCCACTGGAGCAACGCCGGCCTGCCCTCCGCGCCTCCGCCCCCGCGCCTCGCCTCCCTAGCTCCGCGCTTGGCCGTGCCCGGCCTCCCCGTCTTGGTGCATGCCGCCGCACATGGACGGCCCGGCCACGTCGTCGCCCGAGCTCCAGGCGCGCCTGTGCGACCTCGTCGAGCGGGGGCGTGGCCGAGCGGGGCGCGGCTGCTGCGGAGGGCAGGGCGAGCTGCGGAGTGCGCGCGCGTGCGAGCGGGGATGCGGCCGAGCCGGGCGCGGCGGCCGCGGAGGGCAGGGGCGAGCTGCGGCGCGGTGAGGTGAGCTGCAGCGAGGCGGGCGAGGGGAGCGTTCGCGGTGAGCGGGCGCGTGGAGGGCGTCACGGGATGCGGGGCGCGGGACGAGCTGCGTCTGGCGAGCGAGGCAGGCAGGGCGCGCGGGAGCTGGCGCGACGGCCGCGGCGAGCGCGAGCGCGCACGCGAGCTGGCGCGTGCAGGCGGCCGCGGGGCGACTTCCCTTCCTTGTGCAGCCACCCACATCCAGAGCCAGAGCCAGGGACAAAAACAGAGGAGTCTCGCAGGCGAGCAACCGTGCGTGCGTGCATGCATGAGCATGGCATGGCATGGCAGCGACATGGAGATCACGTACAGTGCTGGCACAGCGGACGCCATTGCCAAATATACGTGCGTGCGTGTTGGCGCTGCCGCTCCACCCTCCGACCGGGCCCTGCCCATGCACGCCCGCCCCATCCGTCACGACGACGCACCGCAGCTCGTGTCTGGCAGAGTATGAACTGCTAGCAAGTCTGGCCAATCATGCATCGCAGCGTGCGGGCGCAGCGGCCGCGGGGCGGGAAGAGGCCGAGCTGCGGCGTGGAGGCAAGCTCGCGGGCGCGGGACGCGGGTTGAGGCGGCGCGGGAGCTTGCCCACCAGGTGTTCGACCGAATGCCGACGCGGACATGCACAAAATGCGTCTTGGCCCCGTTGGGCGTACCGACCGCCCCATACAAAAAAGCGGATACGGACGCGCGGACAGCCGACAAAAAAGAACAAAATCGGTGTTTGTTTGGATCGGCCCGTTGGAGTTGCTCTTAGTTGTAGTATACGTTTCAATATATTCCCTCCGTTTCTAAATATATGTCTTTTTAGACATTTCAAATGGAGTCTTTTTAGATATATGAGTCTTTTTAGACATATTTTAGAGTATAGATTCATTCATTTTGCTTCGTATTTAGCCACTTGCTGAAATTTTTTAAAAAAACCTATATTTGAGAACGGAGGGAGTACTTGTGTAATCTTTTCATATTTTTAAAACTGAAAAGATTCAAAAAATAGTAATTCAAAATTCGGGCGCTATTTGCAATTTCCGCGATAACTAGATTGTGATTTTTCAACCAGAAAGAAATTGTGATTTCCTCCACATTGTGCAGGACCCATCGGTCCTGTGCTTCGTCTGAAGCGCTTCCATATGTCCAATTCCAAACCCATCCCAGAACCCGACTAAAGTTTCAAACCGGACATCTTCCCGATCCTTATGGCGACCTCGCCGCCGCGGAGCCCTAACTCAGGCGATCGGCCCGAGACCGCTGACCTCGCTCTCGCAGCTCCGGCACAGCCCACTCGCATATGGAACTCCCTCGTCGCCCGTCTCCCTACGCTACCGAACTCCCTCCTCCTCGTCGCCGCCTCCGATCTCCTCCGCCGCCTCTTGGCGGTCCGCAGACGCCGCCGCCGCCGCCGCCGCCCTTCTCTCCCACTCCCCATCTACGATGACGCCGCAAGCTCCGCCCGGTGAGAACCTCTACTCGAATCAGCGCGGCGCCTGTGATTCCAATGCCGCGCAGGCTTTTGCTGGAGTAGTGCTGTACTTTGTGCTCTCGTTGACTGCTGACAGAACGGAGTAGATTTGTGCGGATTTAGTGTTACAGGTTACGAGATGACCTGTGATGAACTTGTAGAAACGTGTTCAGGAATTGGTCGCTCGACCCAAAATATAGGACCCACCACTACTCTTGAGCTAACGCATCATAGATCTGGTCATCTAGCTATCTGTCCGGTGTTCCTTGTTTGTGAAGAATTACCTGGAATGCTTTTGACTATATGTTATTAACAGGGTTTCTGGTGAGATGCCCAAAGCTCAGGGCCGGCCCTGGCATGTTAGGGGCCCCTGTGCGAACTCCGTATGATGGGCCCGTGGACTATAATAGACAAAAAAAAAATCCACGCCTATGTCTACCGCGAAAATTCATTATAAAAGCAAGTGTAAATTTCATTAGCAAATATGGTCTTAATATATCATGGATGTATCACATTCTTAATTAAATCTTAACTCTAAACTAAATATATATGACATTCTTAATTCTTGATCCAATTTGGCAGAAGTTATGCTCAGGCTCTAGCGGTCCAACCACAACCATGCATCAGAGAATTCGATAAGCACCAGACACATTTTGGTAGCAATCTATAGTTGTAACAAAATTAAACATCTCATCTGCTGACACGAATATCTATTTGCAAAGTCATTTTCAAGCAATGCTACCATCAGCAGAATCTATCTAACAGAAATTTCATGTACAAAAATAGAGGAATCAAGTAGGTCAAACATCATATATCAGAAATAAATTGACAAGGCCAAAGAGTTGAGATCTAGAAATTACATGACTGGGGAATGGCTTGGGTTGTCTATGAATCTGGGGCACACACTGCTGGCTGCTGCTCTTGCGTTCCTGCCAGAGTGGTGTGTCGTCGGCTCGCCTCCGCTAACCTGGGGCGTATTTATAGGAAGCGAGAAGCCGAAGAAATCCTAGGGCCCTTGGAAAATTTATTAATTAGCTTGGGGAATTGGGGTCTTGGGCTCATAGGAACTTGGGGCAATCAATTGCTGAAGACTGAAGACTGAAGAAACGATGGCGGTTGGGAGACGAACAAGCCGGCGACGTTTTCTGGGAGAGAACGAGCGAAAACGGATCTTGGGATTGCGTTCGTGTGTGACTTTGCTTCCTCTCTCTTTAGGGGCTGGGCCTGCTTCCTTTGCGTATTAGATTTTTTAGTAATATATATAAACTGCTATGCACAGGTATGGGCCCCTGTTTAGGCTGGGCCCTAGGCCGTCGCACTCTTCGCCATGGCCCAGGGCCGGCCCTGCCAAAGCTTTTGCCATCTTAGAAGATATCGTGCAGCATACTTTATCTGATTTGCATAGCATTCAGAAGAGCTTACTTTATTGGAAGTCCAAAGCTGAGGTATTAAGTCAATTGATAACTTTTTTTTTGCCTTTTTAGTATGCAGAGAAGTTAATATTATTTTGCTACTTACCTACTTTTGCCTGTGGTAATTTTTCAGGGAACAAACTCACATAAAATGTACTTTATGATGTTTGAAAGAGGTCCAAGGGCCTTCCTTGAAGCAACATGTCAAACACTAACTAGACTCAGGAGCAATGGGAGTCCATCCGAGTACCTTTTAGGCTCTGCATCTGATATAGTCTCAGTAAAACTTGCTGTCCTGACGAATATGCAACATCGATTGGCTGCTTTTCTGGCTGAGGTTTGCTACTCTAACGTGTTTATCGTGAAAAAGTAGCAATAGCGCCATGGTTTCAACTTTCTGCTGATGTGAAGTAGAATAAAACAGTCAAAAAGCATTTTCGTGATTAACCTTGCTCCTGCTCTCCAAAAAAAAGGAAACAAAAAGAAACTGTTGTATCGCTGTAGTCAAATTTCAAAGTTATCTTTATTTGAATAATGTTGCTTTGTGCTACATGACTTGTCATTTACATGAACTTAAACTCTGACTTGCTTCTTCTATAGGTTTACTCTGAAGTTGATAAATGCAGAGAAGGATTAACTGAAAGTTCAGATAAATCACTACATACACTATTTGTTATTTTGAACACCGTCTTCCCCAAATTGGAGGTATCTCTTACAAATGCTAGTGAGGTATGCAATGCCTGTTGTCCATATATTTGGATTTGTAACATGTTTTGCCTCTTTGATGCTATGTTGTTTAATTAGTTAAAACACATGTTTTCAGGGGCAAACTCTACCATTCACTCATGACGAAAACTCATCTCAACTTATCTTCGAAAGATTGCCAGAGGTTGATGTTGAGAGTCCACAATGGAGTGAGGCCTTAGCAACAGATGCTATTAGTCTGATCTATGAAAACCTCCAGAAGCTAGATAGTTTTGTTTCCTCTCAGGTAAGTAACTCATTTCAACGATGACACATGTGAGATCATCGTCTTCCCAGTCTCATAGCACAATGACCTTAGACCATTACAGGGTTAACACATTTGAGGGGATAACTTGGCAGTGACGGCTCCTTCAGGGGGGATGTGAGAGTAGAGATGTGGATGAACCTTCCTTTTCTGTCCGTCTTAAAAGAAATCAGGATACAAGTGCCTCTCTTCATGGGGTGCCATCTCTAGTAGATGGAAACCATCATTAGGAAATAGATAACTAACATATATAAATAGGAAATAGATAAAACAGGCAGGTGGATTTTAGAAATATTTCGCTGAAATATATATAAAAGCTACCCTCCAGTCATGGGGATTGTTGCCAGTTTGCCACCCTTCTGCATGTCTTTCGTCCTCTATGCCATAAAACTCAGGTTCTTGATTTCTGTTACCTGAGTTGTTGGAGGGGTATTAAAGTTTTAATTTCAGTATTTTATATTTACCCGTTTGTGCTTATCTATATCTATATGCCAGTCACACATGCTTTCTTATTATAAATTGGTGGTAGGATTACAGCTATACCAATACCAGTATAGTACCAATGACAGAATTGAAAATATCAAGCATGAGGTATCTGAATTAATCCTGTGGATAACATAGCGATAATGTGTAGCTTGTATGGCACTCCATGTAAAGTACATGCTGCTTAGTATTACGTAATTTATCTGAAGCGTGTTTTTGTTTGCGGATAGCTTTCAAGTCATAAAAAGCCAAGAAATATGACCATATACTGGTTACCCTACACGTGTGGAGCAATTGGCCTCTCTGCATGTTCCCTATGGCTTTTGCGCCATAGTAGCTTGATGGGAAGTTCTGACATGGACAACTGGATTCAAGATGCTAAGGAGTCAGTTGCTGGATTCTGGGATGAACATGTTGAGAGACCAGTAAGACACTTTCTTTATATGTCTTCTACTATTATTTATCTTATATGGCATTCTAGTGTAAGTTAACTGAAGGCAAATCAAGGTATTTAATGAAGGCAGAGGCTTTTCAGGTTGGTTCTGGTTGTACATTTACTTATGCAAGATATCGTGTGAGGTCCTGCCAGAAGCATTGGTTTGTTTGTCACATATAACTGAAAAAAGAAGCATGCCGCCTTGTGCGTTACTGGCTGTAGTGTTTGCTTATGGTGGTAACAGATTGATGGAAGTGAATTCATGTTTTCCTTACGGGAGCATTTGTATATGTTAAGATGAAGATGCTTTAGTAGATGAGCATATATTCATATATAAGCCACAAAGCTTGTCAATATTCACCTTCATCGGTGTTGTAATTGTCAAAATACTGTTCAATTTTTATGCGGAACTGTTGAAGTCCAGAAAGCATTGCTACAAGCTGGTCTAAATTTCTATAAATTTGGAAATCAGTCAAGTTATTGTGCTCACATCATGACTGCCTTTTATGTTTTGACAATTGCAGATCATTTCCATTAGAGATGAGCTATTCGAGACATTCAAGCGAACAGATAAACGTGTAATGGAAAGGGAAGAGGTCCAACTAACCGAAGAATCATTGCACAGGTTGTTCCCAATGCTGTCATTCTCTAATCTGAATTATTATACTCATGGTTCTTTCTTGAAATAGAGTAGAGCTATTATAGCATGACTTTGAGGAGATGAGATACTAGAATAGGGAGAAACAGATCATAGATGAGACAGGACTTACGGTTAAAAATAGTAATCATAGACTGATCTCTTCTTGTTTGTTCTTATGAGTAACAACACGCAGCCTTTTATAGGCCAACTAAACTTGTCCCCAATACTGTTCTTTGTCTAGCAATCCAATCCAACTCAAACTCAATTTGTCAATCCGCACCCATTACTCTCTCCATTTTTAAATGTAAAACGCATTCAATTGTTTATGACAACTGATAATTTCTCCATTGATATGTGGTTATGTGAAACAGAACCACAATTCACAATAATCATAAGCAAGTACATTTGAATATGGATCTACCGACATCAATTTTATGTCACATAAACTGCCTTGTCTTAACCAATTCACAATCATAAGCAAGTACATTTGAATATGAATCTACCGACATCTAATTTCATGGAGTAATTGTTGGTCAAAGTCAGTATAGTACAATTTATGTACACCCTACATTTTTAAAGAGAGAGAGTAGTAATATAAACAGAACCTTGTTCATCCAAACGCCTACATGCTGTTCCTTATGTACTTTCATTTTGCTATAATAATATTGCTTCATTTTGGAGCGGCGTAATTATCCCAGTGAAAATCTATTTGTTCGCATTTTCTTGAATATGTAAAACTTTAGCGTCGCATTTTATGTTCTGAAATGCAATAGAGTACCAAATCACATTGTGCATTATTTGACCATGCTGGTTACAGGATGTTAATTACCTTTTGTGAGCAAACTTCAAAGGAAAAACCAGCACAAGATGCATCATTGCAGGAGTTGCTGGAGATTGTCATGAAAAGGTAAGACTGAACTTTTAACCATACATACTGTTGTTCATTCATCCTGTATCTTCAGCCAGTTGTTGCAAGTTCAATGGCCACTTGAATATTGTAATTTCTTGTTGCTTACTCTGGAGCAATACTACATGTCCACCTTCCTGTTCTGCCTTATAAAGACATCTTCAATCGCTTTTCAGTTCCCTTGTGCAACTAAAATAGTGTTGGCACTGGGGCTGACAAAAGATAAGCATTTTATGGGGGGCGTAAGAAAGCCATCTGAACTAGTTTAAGTCATATGGAATATGTGAAAAATCTTGGTCATAGCAGCAAATAATTCCACTCGGTGGATTTTTATTTAATGCTTATTTACATTTGCATTTAAATGTTTAGTACCTATTTTTGAGAATCCCAATCGAACTTGAGTTTCTGCTGTGAGTGATAGAAACAAACTTCAGGAAGCTAGGGATAGTACCTATTTGTTCAGCATGACTCCTAAGAAGCGGTCGATACAAATACAATTTATATATCTACAATTGCATCCAGAGAGTCGCATGCTTTACAGATACTTTAGGCATGTTGCTTATATATCTTGATATCTAGTAATTTACATGTGTTTTGGCTCATCCCGCAATGGATTAGTTCTTTATATGGTGTTTGTTTCCTTCAAAGCTGTCTTGGCTGTTTATATTCTATGAACCATCTGAGTAATGTGTGAAAAAGGACGACATTGTTCCTGTTTATTTGTGCATTGAGCTGTATTGTACATAAATGCAGATATGAGAAGGAATCGATGCATCCAATTCAGAATCTGTTCAGTGGAGAATTAGCACGAGCCATGCTTATTCAGGTTTTTTTTTCGTTTCTTGTGCATTCAACTCAAGTTAACTTGCATTTTTTCTCACCCATCTTGGAAATTTCAGGTTCAGAAGCTAAAACTGGATCTTCAGGAGTAAGTTGTACTATTATATCTGATAATATTAGTTACATGCATAATGATAAAATGTGCATTTCTTTGTATTTATATATTATTTATTTACACCAGAGATGATTGAATTGGTCTTATACAGGGCAATGCTGGAACTGGATCAGATTCTCAAGGCAAATGAGATAAACTTTGCTATTCTTGCAGCTCTGCCTGCATTTGGTCTTCTGCTTCTCCTGCTGTTTTTAGTGCGAGCATGGGCTATGCATGTATGTATATAGATTCTGTTCATCATCTTCTTGATTACAATACATCTAAGGCATCTGACGCAAGTGGTTATAGGTCTTCGAGACATTCATATGTTGCTTTCTAATATGTTTGTGCTATACATCTTGTGCGGTTTGCACCATGGTCATGTCCTATTTGCCATTCGTACCATGAACAGGCGTGTGAAAAGTTAATAGGATTGCAGTTTAAATGTCTAACATTTACTGTCACAATAATATAGGACCAAGGTGCAGAGGGAAGAGGAAGGATTGCACGTCATCAGCGGTGGCAGCTACTCATAGAAGTAGAGCGAAGACTTAAAGAGTTGAAGAAATGCATGATTAATGAGATGGTAATATTATCTATAGATGTTTAGTCTATTCTACGCATTAATTTTGACGTGTACACATATTCCATTTCAAGTTTTACGTCACATTTGGCCTGTTGGTGGGTAACTAGTTTCCTTATTATGACTATCAAACTTGCCGGTTGCTTTTAATCTGCACAATATTGCCCGTTCACCAAAATATGAGGGGGGCAGAACTTTGAAGACGAATAAACTGAGACGAAAGTGATGTTCTGTTGATGAGATGAATGGGCTCGTTTGTCAGGAACTTTCAACTAGTGATTGATTCCCTTAATTTCCTGCTTCACAGGACGAGGAGGCGAGCTGTAAATTCGGATTGACTCTCTACACCCTTGATAGATTATACAAAGCTGTTGAGGTGCATGCGAAGGAAACAGGCGAGTGGTCAAGGTCAGTCATCTAAAAATTCTCTTTCTGGCCTCTCTACTTGATTATTGTGGATGGCCTGTGGACCAAATCGCGTTTGCATTGCAGCTTGAGAGATGACATGTTTAATCTGGCAAAGCCTAATGTCGGAGTGGCGGACAAGCTGGATGTTCTTAAAGGGCTCAAGTGGAACTACGCCTGCTTACGTCCATCGCTGTCATGAACTTTAGCTGTGATTCATTTTTGAGATGGTTCTACCCTGAAACCATACGGTGACATGCAATCCACTTTGCATATTTTTTGAGAATAGTCTTTTGATGTGAATGCTTCGGAGTCTTTTGCTCTGTGCAACGGGATAGCCACCACACCGTAAGTTTGCGCCAGGGGTTCCTGGGTTTCATCTATTGCAATCTGTGTGTTGCTGCTACACGCAATGGGCTTGTGGCGTTGCTGCTACACCCATTTGACCTTTAAACTGGAATATACTTCTGTAAACATGACTTTTTACCCGTTCGTTTGTGTTTGTTGCACCGTTGGCGTTTTTCTTTGAACATTCACCGCTGGTGTTGTTTATTTCTCGTGTCTAAAGGAAACGATTCCGAGGTTGAAGAGCATTCCCTTTCTTAAGAACAAAATGAACAGGATTTCACAGGCTTATTTTCTTTTTCTGAAAAAAGGATTTCACAGGCTTATACAAAAGAGTAGGTATTATTGGGCTTTTAGCCCATTTAATATTTTCAATAATTCCTGAAAATCTTAGAGGCCCATAAGGGAAGTGTGAAAAGTTTAGCCTCACCCTGATTGTGATGAAATCACTAATTAAGTGGTACCCTTGCAAACCATTACAAAGGTCATGTGTTGATTACCCTAAAAAAGGTCACGTGTTGACAAGTGGCGCATTGTACCACTTGTCGTAACCTGTGAGTTCTTTTTTTATATATATTCGTTTTCGCAAAACGTTTTAACTCTTGAATCATATGTCGAAATCATGAACCGTTTTCATTGTTGGATTTTTCACCCCGAGATCTTGGAAAATACATCCCACGTTAATAGGTTTTGACAAAAAACTTAGAAATACAAAAACAAAACCTAAAAAAGTGAAACTAGAAAGACCGAAACCTAGAATTAAAAAAGCGTAACCCAAAAGCATGGTTGTGTCATTTTTTTCATTTTTTTGGGCAGACTACTTTCCCTTTTCGAGAAGCACATGTTGTGGTTTTTCGTTTTCGGGAAGCACAACTCGCGGGAGCATATGCTCTGCTTTTCCCTTTTCAATACTCACTGCCTTTTTTTTTTGAGGAAGCACATTGTCCTTGTTCCTTTCCGGGAAGCACAATTACGCTTTTCATGGAAGCTTATGTTGCGGTTTTTTTAAGGAAACACAATTGTGGACGTGCTTTTCCTTGATGTGCTTATCTATACCAATATAAAAAGACCCAGAGAGGCAGATCTAAACCATCCCAATCGTCAAATCATGTTATCTAGATGTTCAAATCGCTCCAATGTTGAGCATCAAACACGTTTAACACTCTAATTACCCACCACTGCCATTGGTTATAAACATGTTTTGACTCAATGCTATCCCATAAAATCTGTCATGTAATTACTATCCTACCATTCCCGTGAAAAAGTAATTGATATCTTATCAAATACCAACGTGCAACAGATATATCTTAATTAATATAACATGCAACTAATATCCTACCTAATATAAATGTGCATTGCACGTATATTATTACTAGTCATAGAAGTACATGCCGTGCTTCTAAAAAGTCAAATGGAAAATTAAGAAAAAATCGAAAGCCAGAAAAAACGCGTGACCCAAAGGAAAAAAAACAGAAATCCTGAGGGCGCGCCCAATGCACGACACGTGGCGGCTGCTGGGGGCACCACTTGGTGCGCTCCCAGGGGCCTAAAAATGACCTCCGCGGAAGCCTCAAAAGGATGCCCGTTAGGTAGTTGCTCCTCGATTGTGAAGGGTGTGTTGGACCACCCCCACTATAGGGCTATTGGGCGCCTCTCCGTAACGTAACTGATCACTAGTTTTTTTAGGGATGCTGAGCACTAACTTTTTCTAGGGGTAACCCAAGTTTTATTCGGCAAAAGCCCAGAATGTGGGTACAATTCTAGTCATGGGATGGGCCAAACCAAACGTGACATCCTAGACGTAATGAAAGGGCAAACTTGGCTAAACTGTATGTTACGACATTGACAACATGACCTTCAAAAGTAAATCACAATTAAATAAAGATGCTTGAAGATTTTTTTACAGATAATGGATCCATTTCGCCTCAACAACCTTTGTGGATAGCTCCGATAACCTCCTTTCCATCCGATGCAACCACAAAATTATGGAGGTTGAGATTTTGTGCTAGAGATAGGACCTCCCTATAGCTATTGCCTCCAAAATCGAAGGATCATCTACTGCTCCTATAACAAGAACTGAGCTACCCAAATAGGTGCCACCTGCATCTCTACAAACCTCAGCGGTAGACCCTCCCTACTTCCTTTCAACATCCTGTGTTGACATGTATTTTTGCATAGCTCATTGGCGAGGCTTTTAGGCATTGGTTGTTGACCACGGGTATGGATGGCTAGCCTTGAGAAGGAACCGAAGGAATTTCTTTCATCATGTCCAACAAATCGATGAACCTGTTGAACAATGAATAGATTGGGGATTTTGAAAAATGATCTTGTGGATATCCTTGCGACATGCTGTCCATATAGCCCAAAGAGTGTCTAAGAGCTTCACGAAGAGAGTATGTGATAATGAGTTCATGAGAGTAAAGAGCCACTGTTTTTGCATAGTTGTTGTTACTAGGTTTTTGAGCCAATTCCTCATCCACCAATGCCCATGAATCCAGTGAACCGCACATGCCACAAGAACTCGAATATGTCATGTGTCGAGCACTAGCTGCTACGTGACATGGCAACGCCCTGACAAATCTTGTTTGGACGTCCTTTGCGTTAGCATGGCGCGTAGGAATTGCTTCCACAGACCGGGCCCATTACTTGAGTTTATTGCCAGTATTTTTTTATTATGTTCTCGGTTTCTTCCGACTTAGACTATGTTCTTTCGTTTTCCTTTTGCATTTCTTCATGTTTTCTATTTTTGCCTTTTCTTTTTTTTCACTTATAGATATATACTACTCCCTCCGTAAACTAATATAAGAGCGTTTAGAATACTAAAATAGTGATCTAAAAGCTCTTATATTAGTTTACAGAGGGAGTAAATTTTTATAGATGGATTTTCCCCATAGTATACAAACATATATTCATAGGAGTATGAACACTATTTTCATCTTTGAACTTTTAAAAAAACACTTACATTTTGTAATCCATGTGTATTTTTTTTCAAACTCATGATGAATATTTTTCAAATATGTGATGATTTTTCTTAAATATGCAATGAACATTCTTTCAAATACATGATGAATATTTTTCAATTTCAGGATGAACATTTTTTAAAATACATGAATACAACAACAACAACAACAACAACAACAACAACAACAACAAAGCCTTTAGTCCCAAACAAGTTGGGGTAGGCTAGAGGTGAAACCCATAAGATTTTGCAACCAACTCATGGCTCTGGCACATGGATAGCAAGCTTCCACGCACCCCTGTCCATAGCTAGCTCTTTGTCGATACTTCAATCCTTCAGGTCTCTCTTAACGGACTCCTTCCATGTCAAAATCGGTCGCCCCCGCCCTCTCTTGACATTCTCCGCACGCTTTAGCCGTCCGCTATGCACTGGAGCTTCTGGAGGCCTGCGCTGAATATGCCCAAACCATCTCAAACGATGTTGGACAAGCTTCTCCTCAATTGGTGCTACCCCAACTCTATCTCGTATATCATCATTCCGGACTCGATCCTTCCTCGTGTGGCCACACATCCATCTCAACATACGCATTTCCGCCACACCTAACTGTTGAACATGTCGCCTTTTAGTCGGCCAACACTCCACGCCATACAACATTGCGGGTCGAACCGCCGTCCTGTAGAACTTGCCTTTTAGCTTTTGTGGCACTCTCTTGTCACAGAGAATGCCAGAAGCTTGGCGCCACTTCATCCATCCGGCTTTGATTCGATGGTTCACATCTTCATCAATACCCCCATCCTCCTGCAACATTGACCCCAAATACCGAAAGGTGTCCTTCCGAGGTACCACCTGGCCATCAAGGCTAACCTCCTCCTCCTCACAGCTAGTAGTACTGAAACCGCACATCATGTACTCGGTTTTAGTTCTACTAAGCCTAAACCCTTTCGATTCCAAGGTTTGTCTCCATAACTCTAACTTCCTATTTACCCCCGTCCGACTATCGTCAACTAGCACCACATCATCCGCAAAGAGCATACACCATGGGATATCTCCTTGTATACCCCTTGTGACCTCATCCATCACTAATGCAAAAAGATAAGGGCTCAAAGCTGACCCCTGATGCAGTCCTATCTTAATCGGGAAGTCATCGGTGTCGACATCACTTGTTCGAACACTTGTCACAACATTATTGTACATGTCCTTGATGAGGGTAATGTACTTTGCTGGGACTTTGTGTTTCTCCAAGGCCCACCACATGAATGAACAAAAAAAATTAAAATACACAATGAGCGATTAATAATTTTGAAATGCACGATGTCATTTTAAATTATGCATACTTGAACATTTTAATTTTTCGCAAAATTTTATTTCCTTTTGACAGCCCATACAAGGGCTGTGTGGGCGTTTCACTTCCCATTCGACGCTTTAAGCGTCAGATAGGAGCACTCCAGAGACCGCCATTCCCGTCGGCTAGGGCTGCTTTGCTTGTAAGTAGAACCAAAAGGCCCATTCAGCATCCTGGTTGATCCAAAAGCCCACGCGGTGTTGGACAACGTAATCGCCTTCGTCACCGCGACCACAGCGCCGCCGCCTCTCCTCTCTTCCCCACCTACAAAGCCTACAAAACCCTAGCGAAACATCTCCATCCGATCGAGCCCCCTCCTCCCTCCGCCCCCACCCCAGCCGATTCGATTCGATTCAGCCCTCCCCGCGCAAGATGATGCCGGGGTCAGCCCCGCCGGCCGCCGGGAGCGGCATGTTCGTGCCGACGCAGACGGCGGGCACGGTGCTCTGCTGCATCTGCGGCGTCTCCATGCAGCCCAACCCGGCCAACATGTGCGCCCGCTGCCTCCGGGCGCGCGTCGACATCACCGAGGGCGTCCCACGCAACGCCGCCGTCG